AAACGCATGATAGCCCCGAAACTCGGCACATTTAGCAATCTCACAACGGTTGTGTTTGCTCAAATTTGGCTCTTGAATCAAAAGAACATCGAAGGCCGCCAGAAAACCACCCGAAAAAGCTCTCATCAGATTGACATACCCTTGAGCATTCCACGAAAGCACCTTAAGGGTGGAGCCTTGGGAGGGGCCAGAAGCCTCTGCAGCAGTACAGCCGTCAGGTGACGGGCCTGGGTTAGGCTCAACGTCTCCATCTTCGCAGAGATCTCTGACCCACACACCCTCTGCACCGCACTTAGGGAACGGGAGGACCCGTAGTGGGTCGTGTCTCTGCAGCGCCTTGGAACCTGACGAGTTCAGGTGCTGAGAGAAGCACCGCCGCTTGGACAGTCTCAGCTCCGCGGTGAGGTCCACTTCTGGCTGCTGTGCACTTGGTGGAGTCAAGGCACGAGAGAACTTGGTTTGGGGTCGTGCCACTGCTTTAGCCCTGCGCACTCGTAACCCACGAACCTTGCCAACTGTCCTAGGACGCGTAGACATGTCCTCCTCCTCACCGGCCTTCGGCCTAAGCTTCCGGAAGTCAAGCAGCCGAGGGAGCTGCGAAGCCAACTGAGCAGCTGAGCCCTTGTAATTGAGGCCTTGATCCAATGCAAGTTGCACGCTGTTCTGCTTGTTGTCTGCCCCGGCAGGAGCGATGGCGCAATTGGCAAGGTGATACGCGATGGATTTCGACTTCACCCAACTGCTCATGCCCCGAGGCAACAGCCTGTAGCACCACGCACACGCCCAACAAGGATCGGGGCAATCGAACACAGCTGGCTCGTGCGGACTGACAGTTCTCAGGTCAGTGAAAGCCTCACGAGCCATACCCGGATGGGCCCTCGAGATGTGCAGATCACGGCTAAGGGAAGCTTGCCGGACAGTGCTGCCAGCGACCTCAACCTGACACACATTGCACTGCCATCGGACTTTATTGTCCCTAGTGTGCACCTCAACGCGCGCCCTGGCGACAGCTTTAGCCTTGTCAGAAAGCTTCTGTCTCCTGGCAGCCCTGCGCTCTTTGTCATCTCGCTCACCAACGACCACCTCAGTGCCGCAGCACGCGGGCTGCAGAGCGGCATTGGGGGGCTTAGACTTGCAGCGGTTGGTGACGCCAGAGCGTCGTCTCTCACGAAGACTGGCAGCGCCGCGTGTGTTGCTGGCTGCACGACAGCTGGCAGGGCCAGTGCTCTCCCTCAGCCCCTTAGGGCCGTTCACGGCGAGGTCGGGTCTAGGACTCGGCGACGGGTCAGGAAGGTGGGAGTCCGTGGCTGGGCCGTTAGAGACCTTGCTGTCACTGCCCTGGCTTGACGCGGGAGAGGCAGGCATCCATGAGGTATCAATCGTTTCTTGCGGGGCCCCCTTGAGGTGGCCGCCTCCTCTTGGCACTTGCCCGTCGGGAGCAGCCGCCTTGTCGATATATCCTGGAAACGGACCTACAGGGTGGAGGCATTGATAGTGCCCTGCCGCAAAGTGAAGGAACAAGGTGGTCTTGGAACCTCGGCTGTAAGCAAAGACCCTTTCGGGGAGGCTAAGATCACCCTGCACAACGGTGAGGTTGACCCCCAAAAGCCTACAAGCGGCCCTGAAAGAGATCTCATCCGCCCATCTTTTGGGGCGATGCAAGGCTGACAGATACTGCTCCCAAGTCTGCGGCGGCTCGCCATCCTCGATGCGGTGCATGCGTTCCTTAGCCTCTTTAGCAGCCTCGTCGTCGCCCGTAGGCATAGGGCTGGGAGCGAAGAAGCCTCTGTAGTGGGCTTGATGCTCCGCAACCTCTTGAGCGATTTTCATGCGCAAGCCTCTGCCCTTCTCCGGGAGATTGCTCTCAATGTTCTTGAACACTGTGCCCGAGCGAAGCAGGTACGCAGCGGTAGCACTGGTGTAGAAACACTGTCCCTGCTGGCCACACTCGTACAGCCGCCATGCGGCCGTGACCTCCTCCTTAGAGAGCCCTTGCGCTGGTCTCTTAGCGGGCTGAGCGGCTCCACCCTGAGCAACACTAGCAGCAGTCCTCTTTTTGTCCTCCGCCGGCTGTCCTGCATCAGCGTTTTTGGTTTCCTCGTCGTCCTCCACAAGCATGTCGGCCGCTTCGGGCTGGCCTGCGTACTCACTGGCAGGCACCTGGAGCGTAGTGCTTTTGCCTTTGCCTTTTCCTCCGCCCTTGGCATACTTCGGCTCAGAGGTCCAAGCAAGCATGGAACGGTGGCCAATGACCCGTTCAGCTTGCAGCTCGATGTCTCCCGACTGGATTGTCGTTCGTGAGAACGCCTTTCAGGAGCCATGGCCTCGAGCGCTCGGGAGAGCCCAAAACGGACACCTCGCTAAAGCCTGCACCTTCAAGCACCTCAAGCAAGTCGTCACGGGACCACCACCGTGGCACGTTACGGACACGCCAAGCAGAGGCGCCCTTTCTGGCCTGTCCCGCGGGTAACTTGAAACCAAGCGAAGCTCCTCCTCCTTTTCTGAAGGCTAGGGGCTGTCCTTGAGCCTGCTTTGCTGACTTCACGCCAGTAGGCTAAACCTTGAAGAGCTCCCGGAGGAACCCACTGCACGAGGTCCTTGGTCGGTTGGTCTCGCAGCAGCTGTTCACAGAAAGTGCCATGTTTACCGGAAGCTTTGAGGGCCTTGAGAGCCTCGCACTCCGGCCCCGTAAGGTAACCGGTCAACACAGCTTCGTCGGCATGTGACTGGAGGCGCCAAGCCTCGCCTCGATTCATCTTGACCTGCAGCAATTTCATGGCGGCATCGGTAGGCTGTTGGCCCACTTGCTGCCACAAGCTCGGCTCCATGAAGCTCTTGACGAACGAGACACGGATCGTTTTGGAGAGCTTAGCGGCTGGAACAACCGTGGAGATACGCCGCAGGTTGGCAGCCTCGGGCTTGCCTGCAGCATCCACGAGCGGCACAGAGTGCCACTGCTTGACCTTAGCCTTGCCTTGCCAATGCGATGGGAGATCAACTTTGGCGGAGGTTTCGCCCAGAATGGGCTTCTCAGACACGATGCCGACTTTCTCATTGAACTCAGTCACCTGAGCCAGCTGCGCAATATTTGCGGCTTGCTCCTGAGAGTCAGCGACGATCCACTGAGCTCGCAACGGCTTCTGGGCCTTAAGCCGCTTTGCGGCTTCATCAGCGGGAATGGCTTGCCCAAGTGGTTGCCACCCTGGACTGATGGGCCGCACGGCCCCCTTGGTCTGGGTGTCACTTGGCCCCTTGCCCTGCTGACCTGCACCTTTGAGCGGTTTTCCTTTACCCTTCAGCGGGCCATAGAACGATTGAAGAGGCGTCTGCATGCGCTCCTTGGCCTTCCGCCGTCGCTCAGCTCTTCCACTAGCGATGGGTTTGCCCTCAGCTGCGTTCTGAACGAGACTGCTCAAACGGTCGAGGATGCCGTTGGCGCCTTGGTTTTGTGCCCTAACAACCAATCTAACCACCGCATCAAGGACTTGCGAATCGGAGACTCGTGTTTGGGACTTCGCGGTGCCCCTGTGCCCGCCCTTGCCTTTGGCTGCGGGTGGAGCCGGCCGGTTGTCTCCCGCTCCGCGATACTGCACTAGAAGGGCCTGAAGGGCCTTCAAGAATGCAGTTTCACTAGGCTTTTCCCCACCTCCGCCTCGCGGGGCTGGGACAGGGACCTCCGAAGGCATCATAAGGCCCTGCTGTCGTTCCCAGCTATTGCAGGTGATCTCACTATCCCCGGGATGGGGCGCAGGACAGCTGTGGTCACCAACACGAACTGCACTCAAGCCCTCGGTCCTAAGTCCTGCGCTTTCCGCGCGGCCTGTTGTTGAAGGATCCCGCCCAGGATGGCCATCCGCACTGTCCCCACAGCCATGCACCTCCACAGACTCATCACCGAGACTATCGACTAAGCATGCTCCCTCAGTATTGTAGCTGTTAACAGCGGCTGACAACTCTTGCACACAGCAGGCCCTGGAGTCACCTGGATCACTCATGCAGAGTTCCCCTGTGCCCTGGCTAAAGCTTGCAATCAGCTTTCGAGTTAGTGACGGAACGGAAAGCGAGGGAAACCTTTGTCTGGACTCACGCCTCGCACCGATACGCAAAAACAGCCGCACGGGAAGAAACTCTCTACGGCTCACCTTGATTTGAGCTCCTGGCTTGCGCAGGAGACGTCTGCATGGACAACAACGTACCGCGTACGGAACGAAATGTGCTGCCGAACTGCAATCCTTAAGTACTAGCAGGCATGGCCCAGGGCGGCCAAACCTACGCCGACCAATCACAGTGGCCGTCCATGAGCAACATGTTTAACGCCTGGACCTAGCTTTTCGGACCGAGTACATGTCTCGTGAGGTCGCTGTCGCTTCCTCTCTCTCCTCGGCTTCCATCGCGTCGCTCCTCTGGCATCTCCTCTCTTCGCCTCCTCCTTCCTTTGTCGATTCGTGCCCTCTGTGCCCTTCACCTGAAAGGTTTGACTTGGGATCTTTCTTCTTAGGGGTTGGGGTGGGAGTGCTGCTGCTACCGATCGTTGAGGCGGTTGCCCTTCTCCGAGGCCTTCTGCTTCGCCGCCTGGCGGCTGCCTTCCAGGGCCCTGGCTTTTATCGGGTCCTTTGCTCCTAGGTAGGGTTTAGTCCTTCCCTAGGTTCCCGAGCCCCTTTCGGTTTAGGTCCCTTGCTCCCCTCGCCTGGCCCCTCCCTTTCGGTTNNCGGTTGCATGCAAGCCAGGCTTGAAAGGTTGGAGGCTGAGGTTGCATATCTGCGGGCCGAAGTTGCCGAGCTGCGGGCTCTCTTAGGAGTTGAGCAAAACGACGGCTACGAGGTGGTGCCTGCAACGCCCCCTCGAGCAGCTCCTGCTAGAGGTTCCCAGCCTAGTGCAGAGCCGAGCTCCGAGTTGCGTGCTGCTAGCCCTTCACTTGTGTCGGGCCCTTTGCGTGGCTCTGTGCTTGTTACCCCGGGGGAGACCGATCCCTTGCAGGGCCTTCAGGCCCCCGAGCCGGGCGTGCCCGAGCTGCCTCGCTCGCAGCGAGATCAGGTGTGCGTGCGCATTGGACAGTGGATCGCAGCCTCCTTGGCAGGACAACACCGAGGCGCCTCAGGTCGAGATCAGATCCCTCAAGGCTCCAAGGTCTGGGTTGTCTTCCGAACTTATCACGGGGTCGACTGGAACCCGCCGCGAGCCTTCTCTACTTTTTGTGCCGCCAAGGTGCATTGCAAGCAAGGCTCCCTTTGCGGCGAGGCCGTTTTCATTGGCCTGCCTAATCGTGCTGACGTGCTTGCTGTTTGCCGTGCGGCCGGGCTTCCCGAGCCCTCCTACCAGTGAGCATGACCGATGCCTTAGCGGGCCCATCCCTTGCAGCAGCAGACGAGGAAGACCCGGATGGGGAAGCTCTGGGTTTGAGGGACTGTCTCGTCTCCAATCCCGATGTGGACATAGATTACTGTGTGGGCCTCCTTTCCTTTGCGGCTGGAGACGAGATGGCCTCCTGCGAGCTGGCGGCAGTTATGGAGCTTGGGGCCCGTGTGGTGGTCGTTGTGCCGCAGGCCGTTTGGGCTCGCAAGGTCAAGGAGCGCGTGCTTCCCAACGGCACTCTTGGA